GTCAGATCCCTCCTGCCATACCCACCTGTCACATTCTCTCTTTCAGGATTTGTTAATGGCTCTCTCTTACGTTTAATTTTATATTATCTATAACCAATAGAAAGCCAAAGTTTTCATCTATCAAATGACGTGTTGCATTACATTGTTTTTTGAACAGAGATTTGCCAATTTCTCTGTTAGTTCAAGCTTCGTTGCCATAGGAAAGATAACGACTAGCTTGGATGAATTTGTAACAGCTGTTCTTGTCGCACAGTTAGAAAGCCTGAAAAATTGTCTGTTTTTTGCTTGTTATTAGTCTATATTCTTTGGTGCATTATTTAATTAAATAAAAATTATTTTGTGCATTACTATCATTAATATAAAAAAAAAGTAGGGTTAAGTGTCATCGACAGTTGACAGCAAAAAAGAAAAAATCCTCAGGTAAGTACTTTATTTCTTGTTTTTTATGTTTATTCTTTATGTATTATTATAAAAGTTACTAAAATGTAAAAATAGGGATCTCTTTAGGTTAGTTAAAGTTAAATTAGATAAAAAAAATAAAAATGTTTCATGAGTCACACACGAGCAGCTTGTGGGTAATGTAATTTGATAGCGTAACATGAGCTGCACATTCCCTAAGTGAATTACAATGATGTGAATAGTTGTAAGAGATGGTTAAAAGGGCAATAAAACAATAAAATTTAAAGTATAAATAGATGTATACTCTTACAAGTTTAAGGCTACTTAGGATAAACAAATGTAGTTTCATGTTATATTTGAAGTCATTCATGAAAGAAAAAGAGGCTAATTTAAAGTATAAATAGATGTATACTCTTACAAGTTTAAGGCTACTTAGGATAAACAAATGTAGTTTCATGTTACATTTGAAGTCATTCATGAAAGAAAAAGAGGCTAATTTAGATTTTCTTTTTGGTGGTTATGAGGTTGGTCAATTTGACCAACCTTTTATAGAGTTAGGGTATAGAAGATAACAGATAAAATATAAAGTTTTAATTAAAACAAACATTTTAATGTATTTAGGAGGTTTTAGAGATTACACAAATGAAATTTGAGATTTTTGAGATGAAGAAAATTATTCTTAATCTTAACATGAAAATCACTTTGTACACAAACTATTCAAAATAAATATTGTTGAAATACAGTTATATTCATGGACAAATCTTTCTTTTAGTTTATTAAAAATATTTCACTAAAAAATATGATTTTTTATATGTGAAAGACTTGTAATGTATACTGAAATACTGTCACATTTCGTGAAGATATACAGACTATATTAAAAGTTAGTTGTATCAAATCTATAAAGAATTTAAACAAGTACAAAGAGGTCACATGTTGTGTCAAATCAACTGAGCGTGTATTGAGAGAGTTAAATTGAGTCATTGAATTAGTGTTTGATTATTAATTTTCAGTTATTCCAACATTCAATTAATCAAAATTACAGTTAAGTCTACTGTCACAAAAATAATCTACTAATCAAGAGTAAGGTTTTTGATTATTCCTATATCTGATTATTCCAACTATTCAAGTAATTGAAATATTGCCAACAAACTTGCTTATCCTTTCTTTGTTGTGGAAAGGCTGCTGAGGATATCTGCCACTGTCACAAACTTTGGACTGCTGAACAGATGGAAGGTAACTTGCTGACAGCACTCACTGCTAACCTTTTGTTTTTTGCTTGTGTGTAACATGGTTTGAGAAACACTGTACTAATTGATTAATGGAATTTAATTGATAAATGGGGCTGTTAATTACTCAATTAGCAAATACCACTAATCCCCCAGCTGTAGAAGCATGATAGTGCAACATTTAGCATATCATACATTTTATATCCCCTCAGCTGCTAGACAGTTTTCAAAGACAGTCTCAGAGTTGATTGAAAGTTTTGATTGCTGAATCTTCATCTTGAAATGTTGAGTTATACTCTCAGGAAGGCACTACATTATTTAAAAGACTACTAACTTTTTCTTGTCTTGGTTGTTCATAGGACTGCATGTGTCACCAAGGATGTTACTGTAGCATAAATGGTGTTATTAACATTAGTAGTATTAATAATTCCTGCCCTAGTGCCAACCACACTTTTCTTTCTTTACTTAACCCAGGTGTCTAATATTTATATGAGTAACTATACTCTGTTTAATTGGCTCATTGAAGCCACTTGTGACCTACCAGTGTTTTACATGGTTCATAACTAAAAGCTGGATGTTACCCATTGGTAGTGAACATGTTAATAGATAGTTGATAAAAGTTGTTACATCATGGGAGTGACTCTGGGGAGAGAAAATTTCGTATATTTATATATTATATATTTTCTTTATTTGAGGTTTTGATAGACTGAGAGATCCAGGTCATTATAGAGCCCAGGTATATAGATTGCTTATTGAGAGATTTTTTGTTAGAGATGACAGATATTGCTAGACTGATAAGAAATCAGTTTTTAGCTAAACTCTGTCTTGCACTCCCTCTTCTGTCTAAGAGCATTTGTCCAAGTCTAAGATTTATACCATTTTCTCCAGCATTTCAATCATGTTTTTGCTTGGAATTGATGAGGGATGGGTAGCAAAACACTTGATGCAGAGTTTTTTTGCTCCATCAATGGATGCCATAGAGCATTTGAATAAAGAAGAACTCAGTGACTGAGACACTTTTATCAACACTTTGCACCACAGATTCAACCCTGGGTCCTATGAGAACCTGACAGTATAGGTGAACAGTCTAAGGAGTTTACTTAGGAAGGCATTTTCAAGCATTCCTTCTTGTGGTTTTCATGAAAAAGTCATTAACAAGTTTATTGAAGGACTGCTGAACATACCCATGTTGTTGCCCCATGTGTCCTCAAGGAAATTTCATCTGTGACTGAGTTTTAAAGTTGTCACATTGAACTGCGGAGAAGGGGAAGATACCACTAGTTAAAACAACTCCAGCTCTGGACTCTGCTAAACAATCTCTAGAGTTTTTGATGGTCTCCAAGGCTGGACAGAAGAATCACTTACCAACTCCACTACATTTGGTGCCACATGGTATCATGGTGCAGCTCTTTGTTTCTTGATTAAAGGGTTTTCTGCATTCAAAGACACCAGGTGTGTGAGAAAAATACCCAATATTTTAGCTGTAATGTAATTTACTTGGTCACTGGTTACATTAATATGTAAAACCTGCTGCAAAATGGGACTGTTGAACAATTATTTTTCCAGCTGGTGCCACAGAAGGTACATGAAGGTCAATGATGAGCTATGACTGCTATTCCATCTAGTTTAAACTAGTTAAGCTTCAGTTAGATCTAGCCACCAGCTTGATACTATGTGGCAGGTTTAAAGAATCGTGGCGTGACATCATATGGTATGTACTGAAAACAACAGATGAGTGTGAAGTTGAGTTTTTAATGGATACTGGACCTGCCAGAACTTTACTTAAACTACCGTGTATTAGGTGCTCCAGGGAAAGCCACCATTTTAATCAATTAACACAAACATTGTTTTGGCAAATCATGTTAAGCTGGGGGAATGGCACATCTTCAGATTTGTCTTGGCAAGGTATGGATGTTAAATAAGTAAACATGGTAAAGTCTGTCACTGCCTTTCTGCTACTGTGTCAGAGAAATGTCTAAAATGCATTGGAAGGTATCCATTGGTTCATTACAACACATTGGCTTCTTATTATTGTCGAGTTGAACTAGATGATGAATGTTGACCCACACCATTCAGCACTTGCTTTTGTAAGTGAAATATTTTAGCATTACCTAAATGTTTAGAGGGATAAAAAGAATTGTGTAAAATTAATCATAATTTTCATGTAAAAAGTGTTAGTAGAAAAAGTAAGTAGGGTGCTGTAAATTTTTGATTACTTTTTAGTTGTTGATTGAGATGTGTTTATTTATTGGAATTGCACAGTCTTCATTGGTTATCATACAAACTCTAGAATTTTGAAAATATTGAAGCAAACCTGTTGATTGTAAGACATTTGGAATTCATAAACTCTTCTATAATATGGTTTGTTGATGTAATTAGCCTCTCCTCAAGTACAACTCCCCCGATATAAATTTGTATTATGTATGTATGTATGTGTGTGTGCCATAAAAAATTGATAGCATTTGATTATAAATGATATGTGTTACTTATTTTAGTGGTGGAAATTGTGATAATCTATTTCATAAAAATTTTCTTTGTTGTTGTTTTTTTAGCTGTTTCCAGGATTAGTGATGTAATGGACTTTTCAAGAAATGCTAGTTTTTATGGGGTAAGTGAAGGTTTCTAAGTATTATCTAAACAGAAATATTAGTTTAATTCTTTCCAGTCTGGGGGATGTCATAGTAAGGTATGTTCCCAAATTATATAAACTTGTAACAAACTCACTAAATATTATATATTTTTGGCTTCAAAAAGATTATATAATTCAGTTTGATATTTCTCTCAGTTTTTTACATTGTGAAATTTCCAAAATGTTATGGAAACAGAACATAAAAATACTTCTTTTTGATATAGAATTTACATTTATTTTTAATATTGAACAGAATGTTCCACTTTATATGTTCAATTAGTTTAAACTTCATTAATTTTCATTGACATATTTCTTTTGATACTTTATATTACTAATTGCACTAGTCACCACCTCTCACTGTAAGTCATAAAACCACAACAGAAACCGACAAAAGATATATTAGTGACCTAAAACCTCACTTTTCAAAATACTGTCAGGTTAGACCAGATGCTAAAAATATTTTTCCTAACAAAATTTATTGTCATAATCAATTTATATCTAATAAATATACCTTATTTTCAATAAATTATAATTTTTTTTATATGTGTGCATTGTTTGAAATAAGTAAACTTAAAAAAAAACATTAAATATATAAGGACTTGAGTCATCAGAAGTTTTATGCCATCACCAACTATACTCTATAGTATATAAGTCTTCACAGACTCTAGTTTTCATGAGGCATTTTGCACTACTGCAACATCTATCTAACTTAGAATGCTTCATCAGGATATTTGGAAGTCTGTTTTGTATATTGATTTTGGCGATTTGATGTGCTTAATTCATAAGACTAACCAGACAAGACCCTGGAGAGGAAGGTGGATGAAGTCGCAGTTTTTAATCCTGATAATGTAATATTTAATCTGAATGATTTTCAACTTGTTGATATTTGTAAACAAGTTCTAAACAAAGGCGTTAATTATATTTATGTTTTTATAAAGGCTTACAGAACCCTTACTTCCTTTCCATTGTTCACTAAGTCGAACAACAATACAGCACACAGTCTTGTAAAAATTAAATTATAAATTGTTGCTTTTTTCTCTTCCTACACACATAACTCCCATTATCCTACCTTTCCATTAAATTATGTTTAACTAAATGCTCTTAAAACTATGTCCAAGAACAAAGATATTATTGTCACTAAACCAGACAAAGGTAATGGTATTGTCATTATGCAAAAATAGATTTTCCTCATATTTAACAACTTACTGACATGTTCAGAAAAAGTCCTGGATTTTTATATTCTCAAGTGCTGTAAGAACCATGAAGAATATAAGTTATAGGTCATGGATGACATGTTCATGGTTTAGCCTTATGGTAGGGTCATTCCTTGCTTCTGCTTGCTTGATTCCCAGGCCTAACTTAGTACTAACTTAAATGCTTACTTTTAAACCTATACTAATATTTTCAACACACTTCTTAGAAGCGAGCTTTTCTGGAAGACATCCTGTCATATGAATCGTGATAAAATCAGAAGCTTAGGTGAAGGATAGGCAATAGTTCATTACCCCAGTGTATCAGAATAATAATCTGATACACTGGGGTAATGAACTATAATAAACATGAGTCTCATGTTTTCAGAGAATGAGGACTACACTGTATCACCATCTTTCTTTTCTCATTGAGTTCGACTTACACTTGTTACAAATGAATTTATTTATTACCATCAACTTGAGGAAATTTATCTAAAAAACAAAGAAACAACTCTGAGACCAGATAACACAAAACATATATTTAATTGAACAAATTCTGGCAATTTACATTTACATTGCTCTCACTAACGTTTGGATGTCTCATGAACAATTCCTCTATTATACTTATTAACATCTCTGCAATACTCAGTAAATCGTTAAGTAGCTTAACTTTTACTAGACCCTCTATCATGATACACTGTACACTAGTTATGATACTAGTTGAAGTAGAGAAGGCATTTAAACATATATGAAGCTTGAGTGGGGAACGTTTTCTATGGATGCTAAGGCTGTCATCTTTTCAGAGGATTTACTGAAGAGCAGAAGGGCTATCTTCTTGTTTGTGCCGTCTGCTATGTACTCAAACCATGGCTTCTTAGAATTAATTAATAGGGTGTTTATGTCATTCTAGGTGGAACCAAAACCCTAACCACAGCACGTTTCTTGGCTTCTGATTGGTTGTTAATGTTGTTCTAAAATTTACCAAAACTGCAACTACTGTTTCCAGGTTCCAATTGGTTAGTTCTCATGTACCGATAAGATGTCGCATCAGCATTGGGACATATTGTCAACTCATTTTTTTTTCTCAATTTTCTTAGAGTTTGTCACATTCTTATGTGTATCTCTGACAAGTCTAGAATCCAGTCTGCTCAAACTCTGCATTATATGTGTTTCCTTGCAATCACCCCCACTCTGTGAAGCTCAAGATTGTTTTGTTTCATTATAACCTCAGCTTTAAACATTCACACCACATTCAGGGATGAGATATCATCAGTATCTTGATAGTACACCATATTCTCCATGAAATTCTCATCAACCTGTCGATTTAATGGCTTCTGCTTCCTGCTGGTTTTCCTCTTTTTTTTTATCTTGAATGTATTTTCCAATAAAGCACGTGTCCTTTTGCCCTGAGTTTCTTCATGATCTTATTTAGCGACTGAATTCACGTACATGTATCAATTACTTTCATTACTTTGTTTGGTTGACCAATACGTACTGTAGTTTTCTATAACATTTCATTTTCTGTAATTATTACCAACTGAATTTTATTAGAAAAATTTGCAAATAAGCAGTTGTTTTAACACGAAGTTGAAGAATTCAGAGTGACTCAGTATATTTCAAATCATATATGTTTCACTCAAAATATCAATAAAAATAACTTTCACTTATAGTCTTGTTTATACAAGTGATATTCTCATACAATCTTAGTTACACAACTGATGGAAATCAACAACTTTCAACTTTGAAAGAGTACTCCATTTTCTTAATGTAGCTCTTTCTTATTGTCCATTTGCTTCTTACCTACATTGAACTTTTCATGATTAACTGACTTACAACTAACTTGGCATTTTACTTATGTACCAAAAATGTTCAAATACTACCAGTTAAAACAGTTTTAACAATGTGGTTAATCACAAGTGCCTTGTTAAAAAGGCAGAGTTATCATCTGACTGTCAGTAAATGTCAAGACTTCAGTATTTGTTAGTGAAAGGGACCAAATAGAACTAAGTGGTAGCTTGTAGCTTACTCAGTGATGATGTTTAATTTTATTTTCCATTGATATCACTTTGCCTATATTTGAAATTCTGCAGTTCACTGGCACAAAGCTCAACTTACTCTGAGAGACTTACTATTGGACATTTTTCTTTATGGATACCTATAAATGTAAAACTGTAGGTTTTCTGTATATAACAACAAAATATTTAATTTTAGTTTTATATATTTTACTCATCATTTTTCATTTAAAGATGCTAAGCTCTATAAGTGACCCAAAACATTTGATATAGACATCATGCACACATAACATTTCTGACAGTTAGTGTGCCATTGAGATTATATATAAACTGAGTAACTTGGTTTCATAAGCAGATGAATTATGTAGATCTTTAGTGAAATAACTAAGATAAAATATTTTCTGATTATCACTTTCATTTATCTGTGACTGCACACACAACAGTTTTTTCAATGAGGTGATTCAACCTTGATATAGTTTGTTTCTTTTACAAGATTTGTTTGATCATACCTCAGAAAGTACTTATTGAGCTGCATTTTGGCTAAAAGAATTTGTAAAAGTAATAAATGTTGATAGCTTTGCAGGTTTAAAGCTAGTTTCTATAAATCCATAAAACTGCATTTTGAGCAGTTATTTTATTTATTTATTTTGTAAATTACAAATCAGTTTCCCTGGGTCTTCAATAAATGTTTGTTGACTTTTACTTATTATTTTATTATTACTGTTTTTTATATTAGGGTCGAGAAGTGTCTTTTTTTCAAACTCATACTCCTGGCAAGTCATTTCTAGCTGTTGAGGTAGGACTTTATTTACTATACCTATTCATTTTTTAAATTCACCAGCATAAATTAATAAATACATGTTAGTTTTCATATTAATTTGGTTAAGTTTTCATTTAAGATTGTGAAATTGGTTACTTTAGTAAATATATACACACACTCTTAGGATTAGAGACTTGGGTGTGTGATTTGTAATATGCTGGTTGCGGGTTCTAATTCCATCAACAAATGTGCTCATACCCTTTCAGCTGTGGAGGTGTTAGAATGTTACAGTCAATCCTACTTTTCATTGCTAAAGAGTAGTCCAACAGTTGGCAGTGGATGGTTTTGAATAGATGCCTTCCATTTTGTCTGTCATTTCTAAATAAAGAACTGTTTGCACAGATATTCCTCGAGTACCTTGTGCAAAATGATACAAAAATGATGTACACTTATTTATCAGAACTTTAAAATTATATATAACATATGTAAATTAAATATCATAAAATTAGGAACAGTGATTGATAATAATTAGTGGTTCTGTTAGAAAATATTTATTATCCCTTAACCCTTACTGGACTGGGAAAGGGAGGAATGTTACTGATATCCTTTGATTTTTTTTCATTTCTCACAGTGACAATACTTAACCAAATTGCATGAATCTTAGAACAAACTTGCTAATAGTATCTAGTTTAAACTTAAAATAGTTCTTGTAATTTGATATAGTTTTCTATTTTTTTGTGTGAAATTTCAAAAATTATGTTGTGAGATATTCTTTTTGAAGGGAAATTGAAAATACTGCTTTTCATCTCAGAATTTGTTATTCAATTATTGATTGGAAAGTTATATTTTATATATACATTCAATTTTAACGTGATTAATTTCCTTTAACATTTCTTTTAAGACTTTATTTTGCTTATTCAAGTAGTCACCACATGTGAGCAGTTTAAATCTACGTATATTAGTGGGGTTCAAAGTGTGCATGTCACAACTTTTTACACAGTTAAAAATTTAATTAAACTAATTTAATATCAATGTATTTCAATAAACATTGCATTAGTGTAGTTTATAATTCAACTTCCTATATTGTCTAAATTTTACTTTCTTGATTTCAAAAGGAAATATTTAAATAAGTTCCATATATCATATGATGCTTCTTCACTGCATATTGCCTATTTTAGATTCTCTGTCTACCCATATACATATTTTTTAAATTTGCCACCAATTTCACACTTATACTTAGATACTGCTTAGCCATGATGTAAATTATAACCTCCAAGCTTCTTGCTTCACTGAGATGTAAACATGGATGTCAAATCCACATATCATGCCCCCTCCTATATCATTTTATATTTTAATAAATGTCAATAATAATGATGCTTACTACTGGACTATTTATAAACATTAGAATGAGCAGATTCTGCATTACAAGATTTATTACCAGGATGATTCATTCAGGTTTGGAAATATTTAGCCTCAGTTTCATTATCTGCCTTTGTGCTATTTGGCTTGACCTGTAAGGGGAATTTTTATAACCTATTTTTACCTTAGTTAGAAAGCCAGTTAATTTATTCTATTTTTTTTGTGCATGATAATATTTTGTACCACCAACATTGTTTCAAGAAAGGTAGGCCTACAGTGCTTCTTATATTGATAGCAGAAAGAGTCCAGATGTGAGTACTAAATTTCTTGTCTTCTATGTATATTTTTTATTTTTTTACATTAGTAACTAACATGTAAAAATAAGAAACTTATTTTACCTTACATTGCTGATGTAACTACTGTTAGGTTTAGGTAGTGAAAATAAGAGATAAAATAAAGTTTTCCAAAAAAAATTATACTTATTTAGGAAGTTCTTGAGGTTATGCAAATGAAATATGAAAACTGTAGGATGAAAGAATATTTTTATTTTTATCATAAAAACTGTCTTACATTTGTCAGAGTGTGAGTCAGACTGACACAGTAAATTCACAGACAAATCTTTAATAAAAACACTTCATCAAAAATTCAGACTTTTCACGTTTACTAAAAGCTTGCCAAATTTTATGAAGATACACTTAGTATATCCAGAATTATAGTAGGCATTAATTCCCTGTTGGACTGACCCTGTGCACACAAGGGTAATTGATTAATCTTTATAATCAGTTACCTATGAGCAGTGACTATATCAATTAGTATCATGTATATTAATTGATTAATCAAAATTACTGTTTCTGATTGTTATTATTCTAAATTATTCCAGAAGTTGGTTAATTAAAATTGATTATCAGAGTTTCCAGTTATAACCATTGTTGATTATTCCAACCAATAAAATATTATCACAAAGGCCTGGCATGGTCTGGTTAGGGTGCTTGACTCCCATTCTGCAGGTCATGGGTTCAAATCCCCATCACACCAACCATGCTTGCCATTTCAACCATTGGGGCATTATAATGTCAGATAGTCCCACTATGCATTGGTAAAAGAGTAGTCCAAGAGTTGGCAGTGGGTGGTGTTGACTAGCTGTCTTCCCTCTGGTCTTTCATGGCTAAATTAGGGACTGCTAGAGCAGATAGCCCTTGTGTAGCTTTGCATGAAATTTGAAACCAAACAAACAAATCATTTACCATCAAACTTTCTCTTCCTGTCTTTGTTATGGGAAAGATACTAAAGGCTGTCTGCTACTGACATTAATGTTTAACCATGTAACATGTTTGAAAGAACACTGTTAATTGAATGCAATTAATCCTCTGTATACTGGCTTGGTAATTTTGAGCAACTTTGTAACCAATATGCTATCATGAAACTATAAATACTGTTACTTATAATGTAGTAAGTTTATTTTCATGAAATTTGGAAAGATTTTAGTAAACATCACAAGTATTTTGTACACAAAAATGTCAGATTATTTTGTTAAATACTTTGACTGAAGAGTTATCTGTGAATTTATGGATTCAGATCTGACTCAGATTCTGACTAGTTTAAGTGCAAGGTGATCATGTTAAGGTTAAAAATATTATTTATCATCTTACAGCTTTTGAATTTTATTTGAATTACTTCTAAAACTGCATAAATGAATATTGAAAGTTTTTGAAGTAATACTTTGTTTTTATTTTTTCGGTTTTAACACTATATGAGCTAAGTCCATTTGCCCGACCTTATAACTACCACAAAAAAACAACAAAATGATTCTAAATTACCCCTTTTTCTTTCTATAATGACCACAGATTATAACAGAAAATTACAATTATTTATTCAAACAGTCTTGGACTCATAAAAGTGTACTTGTTTTAATTTAACTTTATTGTTGTATTGCTCTTTCAATCATGTCTAACAAGTAAACCTGTGTATTGAACTATAAATTACCCCATGAGCACATAGTTCAAGTTATGGTAAACAAAGTATTGAATTATTTAATGCAAGAGTAACCTGTGTGCATACCTCACTAAGAAACTAATTTTTTTTTTCTTTTATGCTTTGTTACACTAATAAGTTTCTAATTTTTACATTTTAGTTACTTTTATAACTAAATAAAAATATACGTAAAAATAAAGAAATTTAGTTCTTACATGTGGATCTTGCACTTTTTTTGCAGTCAAAGTCTTGATAAAAGTTAACCCTTCTCTTTGGTAGAATTGATGCTGGAACTTTACTGAGTTCTTATTTATTGAAAATATGCCATTTGAAACATAAAATAATAACATGAACAAAAAAGTACAATATTCAAGAACTATTAACATTTAACTGGCTTTTTAACTAAGCTATAAGTGAATTAAAATAATTCCATTACCTGTTAAAGGTTACCTTGGAAATAGCAACAATGAATCTGTAGGCCAAATAATTCAGAACATCACATGAGAATGAGCTAGCTCCATAGGAAAATCAGTAAATTGAAATTTTCTTTTTGTATTGATTATAAATAATCCAATACCATATGTCTGAGAGAATTATTGACATTTTTTGAAAGATAGCACACAATAACAGGGTTTGACATTTTTGAGTTAACTTTCTGGTTTATATCTCCATAAAGTCCAAAGATTGGAGGCTATAACATTTAGATTATGTCTGAGTAGTATCTATACTATAAATTTATAATTTATGTTAAGCTTAGAACATCATATAGAGATATTAAGAATGTCTAAAATGGGCGATTTGGAGTGAACAACTGTTATGCAATTATTTAAACATTTATCTTTGAAATTAAGAAATTTAAGCTTATATTAAACATTGATTTATTAACTATGCCTTGGTGCCAAGCTTATTAATATGGATTGTTAATAAAATAGTTTAATTACATTTTGACCATAATTCTGTAAGAAGATTGTGACATGCACACCTTGACTTGCCTGAATCCAGAGGTTTAATGGCTGTTTTTGAATCAATTAGCATATACCACTAATTGCCCAACTCTACTTCTGGCTATGAATTATAAAAACACTGCACAAACTGACAAAGTTTTATCGATGGCCTAAGACTTAACCATATAAGTTATGCAGAGTTACAGTGCCTTGCAAAAGTATTCGCCCCCAACCAATAATGTCACATTTTGATGAAATACAAATAATGTAAATTTTTTTTATAATGAACTTGTTTTTATTCAAAACTCTAATGATCAAACTTAACGCTGTTATGTGTGAAGGAGGTTGAATGTCAGCAAAACCTGCAAAGAAAATATATAAATTGAAATTTGCTCATTGCAGTATTTGGTGGAAGCATCTTTGGCAGCAATTACTGCTGTGAGTTTATTTGGATAGGTCTTTTGCACAAAGGGATGGTGTAATTTTTCCTCCAATTCTGACATGTTTGTTGGGGATCATTGATGGACTGCAATCTTCAAGTCTCGCCATCAATTTTCCATTGGATTCAAATCAGGACTAACTGAGCCACTCCAGAACATTCACTTTCTTATTTTGAAACCACTCCAGTGTGGCTTTGGCCTTGTGCTTTGGGTCATTGTTGATACTTTTAGAAACTAGCAATATATTAATAGACTTCAAACTCTACTACTTGTATTACATCTCAGGTTCTTGTGGTCTTTTACTTTATCCATCATCAGTTTTCTGCTTTGTATGCTATAATTTGTCTTGTTTTGAAATTTTCTTCTTCTGTAAAAGTTATTAACTATTATGTTCTCCTGATTTGTTTAGTGAGGGTCAAATGTATACTTTGCAGTCTTTATTAACTGCATACTTCACTGTTATTGTTTATACAGAGCTCTTATGCTCCTTTGGTACTTGAGAACATCAAGGCACTCATCGTCCCCCATCATTTCAGTTGATCTTGAAAGAGCCTCTTTGTTACATTGTTTTATTTTTGCAGGTATTTCATCCAACTTATTTTTCTTTTTAGGAGAAGTACATCAGCAAAAGCTTGATTAGGATTTTAGTATCTCATTTTGCTTCTGACTAGTGTATATCTTCAAGATGGCAAGCTAGCTAATAATGTTCCTCCCCTGCTGTACCTTCAGCATTACTTCTCATTTGATGTCTGTTTCATCTACTCATACCTTTCTTTTGACCCACTCATTGGTTTTTTTTTTTGCAGATGACTACTCCATCCAGACTTTTGGGGATCATCTTAGATCATATGTTCATCTGTAATATTCTTGGGTTTGATAGATCCTTCAGTTATGTCTTTACTTTCACATTTATTGTCTTCCTTTTGATCCTGCTTGATCACATATTCTGGATCAGAAAGTCCCAGCACATTTTTGTAGGTTTTTACTTCCACCTCTTTGTAGTTCTGAAGAAAACAGAAGATTAGAGAAATGTCATAGACCTGTCTCAAATCATTCTTTACCTGGATATATATAATTTAAAAATGGGAAAACATGAGGATGGTGCAGCAGTTTCTCCATGGAGGCCATTGGGTAATGAAGATGGACATACAGGATGCTTGTCTTTGTATCCCTACTCTTCTGTCATCACATCGTTTTTTTTTGTTTTTTGAAACTGGGGGTGATTTACCAATTCAGTGACTTTCCCTTTTGCTTGGTCTTAGCTCCATAAGTTTTCTTTCAATTAATCAATGTGTTTGGTGGTTTTCTTGATTATATCAACTTTTGCTTTGACAGTTGACTTGTTCTGACCCTTTTTCTCACCCAGTCTCTTAACATATAATTGTTTGCCCACCTAACTGGCTATATCAGGATCTTTTTTACTCTCAGTCTTTATCTCTTCACAGATGTCTTTCTCAAGGGTTGAGGCACTGTGGGGTAGAAATAGTCTGGGTCTTGGATTTGTTAAAAAGCAACAAGTCACATCAACATTTAGAACTTTGGACTGTTCAGTGGTAGTGCACCTGTCTTGAGTTTCTGCTGCTTCTTCATCACATAATTTTAGTTCACACAGACAATTGTGGTAACTTACATCAACAATCACTTTTGAACCTGTCATTTTCACATGGTAATGAATATTTTGGTCAATTCTTTCTTGAGGTCATCATCTTCCCGCAGAGTACTGTTCACCATTTGATTTGGAAACTTCTGAGTCATTCACTGTTTGTTACCTTTGTTACATTGACAACCATTTTCTTTCACTCTTTTGATCTCCATTTCCAGATCTAAATACTATTGCAGTGGATACTGTAAGTCAACGTGGGAGAATGTCTTCCTTTATGCATCTCCTCCACTTTACCTGCTTCCTCAGGCCCTGGCCAAGATCAGTTACTCAAAATGTCAGGTTTTCCTCATTACCTCCTCTTTCTCACAGGGAATCAATCTCATTGCCACCTTGGATTCATCTTGTATGACAAACTCACATATCAGGACATCCACAACTTCATGGCTGTTTTTTTTCAGTTCTTTGTAAAAGAAAATAGATTTGCTTCATAATAGCCCAGTATTGCAGACACTTCTCTGGCTGTTCATCAGTCTCATTGGCTGTGTGTATAGTATCATACTTGTGTGCCACACCTTGCATAGACATAATCACAAATTCATATTTTTATATACATAAACATTCAACCTAAACATACAGCCATATGCACTGGTAGATTATGACTGATTGCCTCAGCCATGTACATTGTTACTGTAGCAGTCACACAGGCCACTTACATAGGTTGTCTTTTGTCATTACAGTTCAGTAATGTTCTATCATCTGTTAGCAATGAGACTTAACAAGTTTCCAGTTTTTACATTTTAGTTGTTTTTATAACAATAAAAAAAGAATACACATGAAAAACAAAAAATAAAGAACTTACTTACCCAGGTCTTTTTTTTTGTATGTCCTCGACTGGCGATGACACTTAACCCTACTTTTCTATACTAATGGTACTGCTACACTAAATAATTTTTTTAAAATGGAATAATGCATCAAAAAACACAGAATAATCACATGCAAAAAGCCGCCAGTGTCCCATAACTGTCACAATGTTTTTGGCTTTCAAACTATGCGACAGTGATAAAGTTTGAACTGAAAGCATGATTGAGAATTCTCTGTACAGAAAATAATGTAATATTATACATCAGGTTGAAAACATTGACTTTCTATTGGTTATAAATAATATTGTATTAAATGTCAGAGAGAACTATTGGCAATTTGTGAAAGGGAGGATGTGACAGGTGGGCATGGAAAGTGGGTCTGAACCAAGGGTTCCTTCTTTTATGTTTTGGGAACCTTTAACCTGAACTGTCATTTTGATAGATGAAATCTTGGCTTTCTATTGGTTATAGATAACATAGATTTGTATATAAGAGAGAACTACTAATTCCTTTAGCACGGGCTCGGTCCCATAGACCGACCTTGTAACCATTTAGTGCTTGTTATAGTTTTCATGCTATTACTTTTAAATTAGTAAACGTATGTTAATGAAATTTGGCAGGTTATCAGTAAACATTACAATGCTTTTATATGCAAAATATCAAATTTGTTTATTAAGTTTTAAAGTTTGTAAAGCAATGTTTTTCTCATGCCTTTTTTTTCAACCTATTCAACATGTAAAGTAATTTGCATTTTAAGATTAAAAATACTTTTGTGCTTCAGTAAATTTTGAAATTTCACATGTGAAATCTTTATAATGTCCAGATAGTTATCAAACATTTCTTAAGAAAAAAAACTTTATATTTTATCTTTTATTTTTAGTAACGAACCTCTGTACGGGTTTGGTCGATTTGCCCAATCTCATAACCACGTTTAAAAATTACGAAATAAATATAAATTGTCTTTTTCATTCTAGAATGACTACAAATTATAACACGAAAACATAATTGTTTAGACTAAATAGCTTAAATCTCATAACATTATACATTTTATATATTTATTATTTTTATTGTATCGACCTTTCAGCCATGTTTGGCTAACAATATAGAAGTTACAATGATGTGGTGCACGTGCACTCTTGTTACTGTATCCAATAATATAAAACTGACCTTTAGTCTTTACAGAGTGACCTGTCTTGGCTGTGTTTTAGTAG